CCTGGAAAGAACACAAGCCTCAGATCTACCAGGGTTTTAATCTTGTCCAGGTATCAGATGCCACCTCCTTGGCACACAGAGCTGATTCCCAACTACACCATTCACTTAGTTTTTTCCTGGCAAAAATAATGTTCTTATTCATTCATATAAATACCCATTTTTATTTTCTTTCCTTCCTTCCTTGTTTTCTTTCTTTCTTCTTTCTTTCTTTCTTTCTTTCTTTCTTTCTTTCTTTCTTTTTCTCTTTCTTTCTTTCTTCTTTTCTTTCTTGTCTTCCTTTTTTCCCTTGCTGCCTGCCTCCTTTTATTTTAATGACTACGGGTTCTAGTACTTAAATGGCACCAATTCATTGGTGAGGAGCTACATTCCTTTGTTTCTAATGATGCCATTTAAATGAACAATTTTCACTTACCATATGGTGGGAGAGGAGAACGATACAGCTACTATCTTTTTAATGAAAGAACAGTCAATGTAAAGCTTCGCCGAACGCAAATGTAATAAGGAGTAACACTGTGTTACTTGACGTTTGGCTTTGCAGAATCAAAATCTTCCACAAGCTGGGCTTTCCCTATTGCAGAAATAAAGACAGTAATAAACCTGGGGAAATCTGTTCTACGCATTTGCGGATCAAGTAGTATTTTCTTGATTTGCAATTTGCTTTCAGAAATAATTGTTTTAATACATAATTCATTATCCACTATGCAGTGGATATCTACTACAAGAAAAATAGAATGGGATGATGATTGCCAAGGTGCCAGGTCTGAACTTTTTGTGTCAGAATTAACACGCGCAAGTTGATCAGGTAGAAAAACCACTTTGAATGGCCCATGAGTGTGATGAGACTTGCAGCTTCAATGGCTGTTTCTTGACTTTGTGAAGGAGCCATTGCCCGTTTGGACCCTTTGGCTGACCCCTGAAAAGCCACTTTAGTTCCCTGTGTCCATGGAAACACAGGGATGTGCGTTTACGGTAATAAATAGGAGGCACTGAGATGATTCTCACAGGATAAGGATAAACGTATATGGCAGGAAAAGAATTCTACCGGAATGAGAGACAATTCCCACACTGGTTGACGGGTGGTAAATAACTGGTTCTCCTTCTTTCCCCGCCACCCCGTCCTCACTTAAATTATAGTTTCATAGTACAATTAGATACTGTGCTGTTTCTCCCAACTCTTGAGATTGTCTTCTGGAGGGCTTACCTGGCGGGTAAGGTACTGCTGGGTTTTGGTCTCCCTCTCTCCACTGCCATTCTCCCCAAACTAAAGCTCAAACATGGCGCAGTGGAATCTTCCAATCCCTCTATATTTGAAAAGAATTTTAACCAGTTGCAAAAGATATAAAGAGAAAATGAAACCCTGTTTGTTATGGGCTATTTTTTTTTTTTTTTTAA